CTTTCCTTAAGCTTTTTTCCAAAAGCAAAATAGCATATAATAATTTCTTGATTCACACTTTCAATTTGTTCTTCAGCTTTAACAATTGCACTGTATAAATCAGAAAAATTACTTGGGCTTGTGATAGATTCAGCCTAAGAAGTGGTACTACTTGTTGAAGAACTTGGCAATTTCAGCTTCTCGATAAGTTTTTTTAATATAGATACATTTCCATCTTTAGTTTTTACTTTCTTACTAGATAATTTATTTTCAGGGGTATCTTTACTAGGTCTTTTACGTGATTCTTTTTCTAAAAGGATAATGCTTTGGTCTGTTGGACGATTACTTTCACTATCTTTATTATCATCTACATCTGATATATCTTCTATAATTTCTGGCAAATCTTGAGATTGGATACTATGTTTTTCCATCCCCTAACTACTGATGATATACTTGACTCAGAACCCCTTCTAGCATTTGTTTCGATAATTTCAATCTCCTTACTACAACCAGAGAATGGACATGTATTTGGCATTGTAAGTAAAAGTTCTTTTTCGTTACAAATTCCATGAAAGACATGCCCGCAAGATAGTGTTGTGAATGCTTTGAGAGAATGTGTAGTAATTTCATCTTTGCATATCGAACAATGTTCTAATTCTGTAATTTTTATACCCTTAACAATACCATCCTTGAAAGTTTTTAGAATATTATACACAAGATTTTTGATATTATTAATAGAAGTAGTTGATATAGAAGTAGAGATAGACATATTCAAAAGTAAAATTTATGTAATTAGATTTGTATGTGTTAATATAGTATAATCAGATAAGTATTTTACAATTTTCTAGAGTGCTTTGCACTTTGCATAGCATATACTTAGCTCGTTTTTATACATTAAACATTTTCACGACTAAAAAAATTTAATTTACAGATTTAGAGTGCTATGTGCTCCACGAAGCAAGAAAACTAATTTCAGATTTGGTGATCTATTCATTTACAAATTATTTAGTATAGACCAGGATCGCTCGATCTTTGCTAGCAATCACAGATAAAAAATTTTGCTTAAGGGTAGACCCAAAGGGTCATTGCTCTGCAACAAGTATGGTTAGTTCCATTTCTCTGAAATACTTCTATGCTTATCTCGCT